TCAAAATTCCCTCCGCAGCCGGCTTAATTTTGATTTGCTTTGATATGTACTGCGAACGTGCATTGATTTTGATTTTCATGATTATGGGATACAACCAGTCTGCACCATAGACAGACTAAACGACTTCGCCGATCGCATTCCGAACTGTACCGTCGTATTGGATGACCAGATCTTCCAGACTTTTGACCAATTGTCGCTGGAGGTAACCCGTTTCAGCCGTCTTGACTGCCGTATTGACAACACACTCTCAACCGGCCACTTGATAGAACTTGATCGAAGTGAAGTCAAAATAGAAGCTGTTTAGCATGAAAACACGAGCCGCTGGAATTTTTGCTGTGAATCGGATGAGACGGACTGAGTTTTTCTAGATTTGAAGGGATTCACGGTTCAGTAAATACTTATAGATTTTGTCGAACGATCATCGAAACCGGGGTTAACAAAGTATTCAACCAAGTAGGCAACGATTGGCATCATTAATAACGACGGCAACTTTGAAATGGTTCTATTGTTCTTTTTTTTTTTCCTTTGGTTTTGTTTTTTTCCGTCGATCTTGTTTTCCGTGCTGAGCACCAATGCTACCACGTGCCAGGAAGGCAGCTCTCCCACACCTGGACCCTACCTATCGACCCATCAACTCATGAACCGGGGACCAACGGCTTTACTTCCCATCCGAAGGAAGGCGTGATCAGAGATGTTATGCCTCAGAACATCCCGACGGCGCCGACTGGGATTGAACCCAGGTCTGCTGGGGTGAGAGGTAATCACGCTTACCACTACACCACCGGCGCCGTTTTTCTATTGTTCTGAAACTTACTAATTTGCTACAAGTCATCAACATCAGTTAGGTTAACTTTGACATAAAGTTATGTTAATTGTCATAATACCAATCCTGCAAAATGCGTGTCGATACTACTGTGTCACAGCACGCCTGTCCCATTGCCGTGAAACGAGCTTGATCTTATCATCGCCACGCATTTATCAGATTCCAATTGCATATGCAATTTGAATTTAATACTGCAATTTCTAGATTTCAATTTCATTATAAAAGGATACCCCTCACCATCTCGCTCCAACTGGGGAGTTTGGTAAAGAGAGATGATCAACCCGATTCGTACCTTCCTCAAAGTTGTCCTTGCTCGCTTTCTACTCTCTATATACAATTTTCACACTGCCGTACTCTAACGGAACTATCAGCTCTGTACTTTCATCTTCTCAGCAATCGTATAAAATGACCACTGTTATTTGAAACTTGGCATCTATTTTTCTCCAATTTCAGCTGAATTTGGTTTCAATTTGAAGCACCGATCATAATTTTCAAATACATTGATCATGTTTTCTTACCAAAAAATTGGTCATTACTATAATAAGATTGATTTAAAAAAATCCAAAATTGCTCACAGTTTGCAGTGGAGTGCCGAACTTATCAACAATTGGTCAACATTTAACGGAATCCACAGCTTTTATCGAAATTAAGCAATGATTTTGCGATACAGAAGGGTGTCTTATGAAGGCCAAATCTCAAGTCTCATGGCCACATTCCAAAACGTGAGTGGAACATGATGATCACGTCAAATTGTAACGTATAACCACATGCCCCAAACAACCCCTAGAACGGCTCCCATACATTCTCCATGCTGAATAGTAATATGCCTGAATGAATAGTTGCAATGATAGCATGAACAGTAATGACAGTATAATATACTAATTGAATAAAATTAATATGTACCCGTTAATAATGATCGATATTGATGAAAAGATTTTGGCAATAGTGTGATGGTATATTATTATGATGCTGATTAGACGAATCTTGGAAAAGCATCATCCACGTCGTCAGAGAAACCTTTGAAATCCAGGATGTTCAGTTGATCATCGCTATTTAAATCGCTGAGAGTATCTTCCGAGTCTTCGTATTCTGATTCCACAATTTCAGTGAACAATCTTGTCGTGGCTGTTTTCAACTCCCTTCTGTTATTAGCCACCTCTTCTCAATAATCCGCCGATCTACCACTTCTTTCTACATCCTACCTTGCGCTGGTTTTTCATGTGAAGCATGGACTTCAAATTTTCTTCTTCTCCGGGATCTCATACTGTAGGACTTTCTCTGATAAGCTGTTTTGATGCTTTTGTTTTTATGAAAATTAAATGATGTTCTATCCCTCTATCATGGCTATATGTTGATCCAGCGTGTAGATAGTTAATAGCGTACTCTTCTTCAAAAATTGTATCGCCTTGATCTAAAGAAAAGAAAATCTGCACTCGAACAAGCCTAATTCAAACGTTGTACCTGTGTGATGTCGCATTCCAAAAGTTTGAACCAAATAAATAAAAAATCTTTTTTAATTGTTGCAGCCATTAGACTCAATTATTTAGAAAATCAATTCATAGTTAAAAACATAATTCTAAACTACACAATTATTTAATTTTGCCTAGTAGTTAAATTCCAACAAACTTTTGGTCTGCTACATCACAACTGGCATCACTAGTGTGCATCATTCAAAATGTAAAGATACAGGCAAGCCCTGGGACCTGGTTGCAGTTAAGCAATCCTCAAGGTTATGTCAATGCCCAGGGAATCACAACTTCCCACATAATTGAACGAAAATCTGGCGCAAGGTCGAAGGAAATGTTCACAACTTTCGGCTCTTTTTAACAGAAATAGACATAACTTTTATCAAAGTGCTTTCGAATAATTTTGGAAGATTTACAGTCAACTCTCCCTTACTCGATCTTTCCCTAAGTCGACGGAAATACAGGCTACTTCGATCTCTTTGTCCATACAAATTTTAAATCCGCAACTCTATATCCCGATGGTCCCTTAAATATCGAGTTAGGGAGAGTCCTTTTCCCGTTTTAATAATGCAGCAATCTTTTTGTTTAATTCAGGGAACTTATTTAAAAAAATATCAATGTTTATATTTACTTTCTTTTATAATTTATATGTTAAGACATTTTATATTGATGCCATGTTGTCAGTTCTCAACACATTTTGATGAAACAACTTTAAATAGTTCATAAATTGGTTCTAGTTTGTATATGTGTAGAATTTGGGCATACATTTGGTAAATGTTGACATATTTTAAAATGTAGTTGGGTATGTTACCCATTTTCGGTACTTACTCAATCTTAACACATCTTAAAACTAGAACCAAATGCTGATCGATTGAAGGTTGTGTCATCAAAATCTGTTTGAGAACTGAACTGCCTATAATCCCATATCAGTCTCATATGGAAAAAGTAGGTATTGAGAAAATGGCAGTTGAAGTTAAGAAGTGCAATTTCCATGTAAATATTTTAAAAATCATAGTAAATTAATCGATAATTGTATCAAGTTAAAATCAGTAGCAATGCAGCTTGCATGTAGAACTGTAACTTAGCCTCTGGACAATTTAATTTCCGGATGGGACTGATATGCGATTACTTTGCTTGATGGGACAAACTGACTTGATGTTGTTTTCACATATTTCGTGATTAAAGTCCGTAGTTTTAACACGTAATATGAAGATGCCAATTGGTAGTCGATAGCGTTATTTTCTTAAAATTGGCGAAAATCCATATGGGACTGATATGCGATTATAGGCAGTGATGACATGGTAGCAATTTAACTTTTGAGGTCGTAATAAGTCAGGCACGTAGGTGTTAAGGATGATACTTACTTAGACCGTCATTTGGGACATCAACCGTAAATTTAATTTAATCTCATAAAACACTATCCGGACTAACACTAACGTTTGACCAATCAATACTATCATCAGGGCTGAGAATACACTTTAGGTATTTTTTTAAATCAGTTTTAACAATTTGCAATGTATCCTTTCTACATTGTCCTTGAGTGGTTTTGTTATCAAGTGTTAATTGCATGTAATCTATCTAAGCATGCATGTTGACCGTAGCTAGAATTTACAAACTAAAAAAATTAACAAACACTACCAAAAATAACTTACACAATCGAAATTCTCAAGACAAAGGTAACTATAATAATTTACGGCGTTACGCCAAAGATATTTACCAGTAAGAAAATGCATAGAAGCTGAACGCAAAAAGAATAAAAACGGAACGGGGCAATAGCTAGCAATTGCACCACTACCAGTGCACATCCAAAAGTGGAATAATACTAAACAAATAAAGGTGAAACATTGAATGTGCTGCTGTGCTGTGCTGGTGCAGCACATAATGCAAACCAAGCAGAATGATTTGCTCCGCTCGGGGGACTTTCTCTCGGCATACCTAGCTCTAGAGCTATACAACTGCTCCTCCAGTGCATATCAAGTGCATCGATAGCAGTCAGTTTTATCCAACATTTCTTTTCCATCATTATGAACATGACGATTGTTTCAGAATATTGAATTGAACGAAAGAGAAGACGATTACAAAACAAACATTGCATCAACTAGGCATTTTCGCCTTTTGCAAGTGCCTGGCTCTCTACATTTGACCCTATTGTCCGCTCCTGCTGCAGCGGAGTCTCATTCTGAATGAGCAAATTTTGAATTAAATATTCAACAGCCAACAGCGACAAAGTGAATATTGATTCGTTGTGTATTTTTTTTTTCGAAAAAAAAGCGCAGAAATGGAAAGAACGAACACACATTGATGCTCCTCTTCTGGCTAGGTCAGCTCCAGAGTCCAGAGCCCTTATGTTGCTCCCCCCTTCTGCACTGGTTTGGTTGGTACATCGGGTGGCTGTGTGTGCCCCGGCGCGGGGAGGAACTCTCTGTACGGTAGCGCCATGGCCCCAGTAGAAAATCGAGCCAACTCCCCATTTTGATGGCACACAGTTGCCATCTTGGCTATCCAGGGTCTCCGATTCCCAGGAAGTGCCGATATCAGCAAAAAATTCCGTCCACACACCCGCAAATCCGGGTAGCCTATCATTCTTTTCTGACATTACTTTCTTCGCACACTCTGGTGTGTAGCATTTTTTCGCAGAACATAATATCCAATCGACCGTGAATGAAGAAATGAAAAAAAATACAAGCAAAACCGAAAATCGATCCTTTTACCTCGAAACAGACCACCTAGGGGTCGGAAAACACCTGGATTCGATCGTACACTTCACTGACTCACTATTTCGCACGTTTTTCACTGTCTAGAACATGATTCAGCACTGATTTAACCACTTTTTCACACCGATTTCAGTCCAAATTTTCAGGCAGCCATTAAAAAGAACGGCGTTTCCATTAATACACTGCTGCTAGTCTCTTTTTTTTTCTCTGCTTTTTGCTTGAGCTGGCTGCTGGCTGCCTGTGCTTCTTCTCTTTTCAGTTTTCTCACCGCACCACACACAAAACAGTCAGTCAGCCGAACGCGAAGAACACACTGAACTGCTGCTGAAAATACTGATGAAAACTGGTGCCGCTGTTGTTGTTGTTGTTGTTGTTGCTTTTTGCGCTCCTCCGTCGGCTTCCACCAACACACTTGCAGATCAAAAATGAAAACATTTTTTTTTTGTTTCGAAAACTTAGCTGTCAGAAATTACGCACGCGATGACAGTCCACGTATGGGGGAAGGAATGTCACCTTCAATTAGGGGTGGTCATGATTGATGAATTGCAGCAAAATTTGCTAAGAACTATGCATGGAAATTTTAATGTTTGGAAAATATCCTTCACTCGGAAACTCCAGAGTCGATGTTATAATAAGAGTCCCGCCAAGAGAAAATGTTGCGAACAAGCAGCACTGTTTGTGATTTATTTTTCATCAGAATAAACGGCAACCAGATTTTTTTGCGTTAGCATCGGATGACTTTCATTCAGAAGTGAAAAAATGCATGTCGATAACGGAGCTTGTGGGAGTCAAAAACAATTATAGAACCTGAAAAATGTTCAAACAAGTGCTTGGTATACAGGGTAGCCAGATTATTTTTGTTACTGCACCATAGTGCCGAGATGAGTGAAAAGGACTTTACTTTTGGGTGCTTTTTCATACGTTGGATTGGAGTTGCAAAACATATCGCGTTTGATCAAACTGACTGACTACACAGAAAACAAAACATAGGTTTTGAACAATTTTCAAGATTACTAAGGTTGTGTTCCAATGGTGAATTTTCACTTAAATTTGACAGATGTAAAAAATTCAAATAAATCTGCTATTCCAACAGACTTATTTATGATCGATCAGGAATCAATCTTGACAAACACCTTCTCAAAAATCGGACAATCAACATAGATTTTCGAACACTGTAATTTATTTTCGAAGTATAAAGTTTAAGTAAAAATTCACCTAATCTGTGATTCTCGGTAGGAAAAGTAAAAAATCGGTAGTTTTGAACCTTTCGTATGTGAATCGGTAGGCATCCCAAAAATCGGTAGGACTACCGATAAATCGGTAGGTCTGGCCACCCTGGCGAGGAGCTCTATGATGGCATGAACTTTTTTCACAAATGCCACACGGATAGAAATCTCCTTATAACTTTTGGCAAATTTCTATTGCTGATTATTCATAAAATGTATAAGTCAACTAATAAACAGACGCCTTGCAAAAAGTTAATGAAGATCATGTGTCAAATGAAATGTATAAGCGGTCACACATACCTTTTATGTATTCTTATAGGACCTATGTGGTTTGTCTTATGAAATGTATAAGACTGAAATTTTGGCAAAAATGTATAAGTCAAACACATGAATAAAATAATTGATTTTCGTTTCGTGCAGTAAGATCATTTATTTTTCATGGTTGCCAAAACAACTTTTTGTGCCTCCGCTTATCTATGGAATCTATAGTATTTAGGCCAACACAGGGGGTAAGTCACTCTGCCACCTTGTGCTAAACACATCAAAAACACTCTTCGACACACTCAAACACCCATTAATCACCATGAGAACAATTTTTCAATCTTTTTTGGCAGCCCTGCCTAGAGCCATGAATGTTTACATTCGTATGATGCTCTTTTTAGTTTTTGTGCATTTTTCTTAAGTAGAGATCACCCTCCAGCAATCGGTAGGATTCCACAGAAATCTGATCGGGACACGGACTCCTGATTTCGTCGAACATCTGTCGGTATCAGGGTCGGTATGCGGAATTTCGAGCTGTGGACCGAGTTGCGACGATCTGGAACGGGAGGATTATGACGGTTCCGTGTTCGAGGTCGGATGTGTTTACAAGTCGGGACGTGAATGTGGTGGACAAGCGACTGTTGATGAAGTTTCTGCAGAGTTGTGCAAGTTGGGAAGGGGAAGGAGAAGGGAGCGAGCATCAGGCAGCGGAAGTCGAGGGAAAGACGTTCCTGGAGTATTTGAAGAAACAAAAGTTGACCTCGAATTTGATCCATTACTTGTTGTACACAATCGCCATGGGGAATGACCACACTAGCTGCCGGGACGGGTTGGAAGGGGTGAAGAAGTTTCTGCTTAGTTTGGATCGATACGGAAACAGCCCGTTTCTGTTTCCGATGTACGGATGCGGGGAGATTCCGCAGTGTTTCTGCCGGCTGTGCGCCGTTTTCGGAGGGATTTATTGTCTGGGTAAGCCGATCGAGAGTATTAATTTAAAGCGAGATGAAAGGGGCCATCAATGGTTAAAGTTCGGCAAACAGATGATAGAGGCCAATGGGTTGGTCATAGGGCAGGGGTACGTTGAGAAGGAGATTTTCGGAGTAAAGGAAGGCTCGAGGGAAGAGAAGCGAAAGGAGCACTGTGGTCAAATGGCACGTGCTATATTTTTGACGAATGTTCCATTGGGTGGTGCATCGCAGAATTCCGGTGGAGGTGGCGTGTCGCTGATGAAACTGTCCCCCGTGGAAGCGCACGAAGATGGGGCTACCATTATCCAGTTGACACACTTTAGTGGAACTTGCCCAAAGGACATTTGTAAGTAATCAGGTCTGCCTAGGCGTGTGGACAATTTATAATTTATTTTGATTGTTTTCAAGATCTCATCACTCATCCACACTGATGCAATAGTTATTTTTTAAAGCACTTGGTAGCCTAAACACAAAAATGCTTTTAAAGTGAAATGTTCCGTTTTTCCGATATGGATACTCGAAATGCCTTACATCACCTTTAGGGTCTCTATTGCTGCAATGATGACTCCCACAATTGGGGATGATGATTCAACGTCAAGCTCAACATTATAAAAGCAGACCATTTCAGCCTCTAATGAGCTAAATTATCCGTAACTATATGAAGAAATGAGCGCATAATAATCATCCAGTCAATGATTGACCGATGGCTGTAGAAAGATATTCCTTTCTAATTTGGTAGTCATTCCATATACGCACTACCAAATCAGAGAGATCCGGCCTACAGCCGGCGGTTAATTTTTGCAGGACGAGTCTAGGGGGCACGATAATGAAAGTTGATCGAATGGTTGCTGAGCAGATGTGGGCTATTTCATCGGATTATTCAGAATATGCTTTGTTCTTCCCGTTATGCCACTCAACAAGTTCATATATGGCTATCAAGACAGTTACGAAGAAAAAGCTGGTTATGTATATTGTGTGTGTATGCCAGAACTAGCGCTACTTGAAAAAAAATCCATTCCCGTATTCGTGAACTACTATGAAATATGCACCGGTTCTCGTTCACTAAGTATATTAAGACATCAAACGACCAAATGCGTGCTTCGTGGGTGGCATAGTTGGAATCCTCCCGATCATATTCGCATCGATCCTTGCTCCATGTATTCTCACGAGGAGGTCACCACTCGTTCCGACCCATTCCGCCGGTAATGGGTTGTCGGCTGCAATATCCGATGCATTCTTTGACGGCCCGGTCATATCAAAGCAGGATCTAACGTCGCCAGGTAGTTAGTAGTCATGAAGGCAATTCTCCCCTCCGTCGATGCCACTCCGTTCGTTTAACAAACCACTAAACGATTCAAACCCTCGAATGCTGCCTTTTGCACGCGATAATAAAGCGGCGTCTGTGTTCTAAAAAAAGAAAATCTCAGTAACATTCACTACCCTTCTCGAGACGCTCCTATCCTACCTTCTTCCAATATTTTGAAGTATACGTTTTTGTCCCGTCCAAACCCAGTCAGCTGTTCCGTTTACCACGGTATTCCCGCGTGCAAATCCAGTGTGTGTTGTTCTCTGGCTTGGTCCACGTTCATCCGTATCGCAGCACGTTCGGCAGGAGGAGTCTGAAAATTTATTGTTTATTGTTATCCTTTCTCCAATCAACAGCAAACACATCGCATTGGAATCAGCTGTGATAGATGTAGTGGTTGCCAGAAAACTTTATTTTTCACTCAACGTTTTGACAACTATGTTGACACGCTGAAACACCTTCTGACACCCAAAAACACCGAAGAAACACAATAAGCACGGACACAAGGTGGCAGAGTGACTTACCCCCTGGGCCAACATTAATTTCTCCTATTTGAGATACATTTGTATTTGATTTAATTTAATTAAAATTTTAAGTGAAAATTCACTAAATCAGGGGAAACATGTCAGAAGAGTATAACCAACAATCAATACGAAACTAACGATTTTAAATTGGCTCACCACTTTAGTAGCCTATTGGTCCCAAGCAAACGATTAACGTACCCTATTCTAGTCGAAATTCTAGTACTACGCAATGTTTGTTTTGATTCGCTATGAAATTTTGACAGATAAAATGAGGGGTTATTGGTTTTTCCTATGTTTCGAGGGGTGATTCGACAAGCTTGGGACCGAAGATAGTACCAGAGGTGAGCCAAAAAGTTGAGCACGTTTCTTCGGGACCTACTTGTCTTAGAGTTACCTCTATGGTATAACTCGAAACGTAAACAATGACTTTGAACGTCGATTTCTCTTGAATGACTACATACCCACGGAATCTGACTACACCAGCTTATAGAGCAAATATTTTTCTGTCAGATGATTAAGTTAGAGTGGGTGTGTTGTCATTCGTAAGAAACCGACTGTTGTTCGCGGAGGGTTCAGGATCGGGATGGGAGGTGGGAATGGTAGGGTTTTGCGCTAGCGATTGGGTTTTTGGTTCCCGTTGCGAGGATCGTTTTTAAATATGTGCGATACAAACGTTTGCCAAGTCCGATGCGATTACTTACTTTTTTCCTTCTTGGAATATAGCGAAGTGATTGATTAACTTTGGACCTTTGAACCAGATTGCTGGCTATTTGCCACAACCGGGTATAAGTTCTACTTAAGTGAGGTTCCACCTAAAAAGAATCCGGTGCTACATGCCAGCTAGGGGTGGCAGTATGACGTTTCCGGATTCAATTTTAAGGTTGGATTACTAACTCTGTAGACCAGTGATCCAAAGTTATTCTGCTTAACTCAAGATTGGGTTCTGGGAAATAGCTATCCGGCGCTACATGCCAGTCTTAGGGGTAGCAGTATGACGCTCCCGGAGTTAACTTTTTCACTAAAAATTACCAACTTGGGTTATGGCCAGACCGAAAAGGTTTCGGATGAAATGAGTTCCGCGTGGAGTTCCTTATGAACGTAATACCAACAATCAATACGAAACTAACGATTTTAAATTGGCTCACCACTTTAGTAGCCTATTGGTCCCAAGCAAACGATTAACGTACCCTATTCTAGTTGAAATTCTATTACTACACTATGTTTGTTTTAATTCGCTATGAAAGTTTGACAGATAACATCAGGGGTGTGTGGATTCATGCAGAACATGCAGGGGTGAGTGAAATAGCTTGGGACTGCTTGGGACCGTTGTTCTGGTACTGAGTGAGCCAAAAATAATAATGATTTTCTTCGGGACCCAGTGGTCTTAGAGTTACCTCTATGCCAATAGGCTACTAAAGTGGTGAGCCAATTTAAAATCGTTAGTTTCGTATTGATTGTTGGTACTATGTTCGACGTTATGTTTAACGTACAGAACGAGAGTAAATTCAATTGGTGCGAGTGGGATTTTCCGGGTTTCAACTGAAACGATAATCATTTCCTACCGAAATACTTTCGCTTTCCCTTGCCACTCTCATAAGGTGAATGACCTGGCAGAGGAAGCCCTCCTTTCGATTAGGGAATTTATAATAATTACGATGTCGCGTTCGCAACACCGACGATCCAAGTCATTGTTTACGTTTCGAGCTAGACCCTTCTGACATGTTTCCGCTGAAATGGAACATAGCCTCACTCTGAAACAAAATCCATTGGCAAAAATACTATATTGCTGGTTTAAATTAAATACCCTCACCAATAGATTTTTGCAGAAAACAATTTCATTTAATTTTACTATTATTTCTATCAAAATTACTATGCATTTTGAGCAAGCATAGTAGTTTTGCTAGAATCATAGTAAATTTGTTAACATTCATGGTAAACTAAACTGAATTCATAGTAGATTTAACAGTAATAAGCGTGGTTATATTGATAATAAGTGTTTTCTGCAAAATAGTATTCCTAACTATGGTCCTTGTTTCAGTGCATGTTTGTTTACATTTACGACATTCGCCCTTATTCCAGCTCTATCTAGAAATATTTATTTCGGTGGGGCACAGTTCTGACATTTCCTTTTACCGTTTCATTCTTTTTTCTCAGCTGTCATCAGTGCCCCCAAAGTGCAAAAAAGAAAACGAACTGAACGGCACTAGCTAGCCTGGAAGAGTCGGAAGTTTTGATGTAAGTAGCAAAGCTGTGGCAAATGCTGAAAATTTCCTTTTATCGCTGGAATTAACTGGTTTGTCGACGTTTATTTACAGCTGTAGTTGTTCCGATTCGTGGGGAAGGTTGAAAGATTAAAAATGGGCAACTACCTATCGCTCTACGTGACCAATCCGGAGGGAACTCCGAAACCCCTTGCAAGCCCTTCCTTCGATGCGAATATGGGTTTCCCGAATGGCCGGAAGGAAAGAGGTAAGTTTTCGTGGTCTAACCGGGTGCAAGTGGTTTTATTCTAGCAAGAAATGGAACGTAGTTTGGATTAGGTGGAGGGTACAATGGAAATGTAGCTGTACTTGCAAGAATTGGTAGATAATTTCGTGAATGTTTACGTTGAAAATTACATAACAAAAAAGGTTAGAGCAGTCGATTGACGGGACGAACGATCATTCAGCCCCAAACAGACATGACGAATAGCCGTGAATCAAAACAAATGGATTTTGCGAAACTGAAGATGCTTTTTATTCGTTTTAGTGATGATCGCAACCGAGCAGGAAATGGAAGCAGCCAAGCTGCCGCTGGCCGATCGGGACTACTGTGCCCATAAGCTAATCGCCCATCGTGCCTGCCGAGCGGACGTGTGGCCATGGGCGTACAAGTGTGCCCACGAGAAGCACGACTATCTCAACTGTCAATATGAGGAGTGAGTATCGGTTCCCATTGATTTTAGTAGGATTTTTAGGTTGGGATATTGATAAGAATATGTAGTAGTTTAATGACTTCTGCAAATTGTATCTACTCTGTGCAAGCACGGGGGCCATAGCGAGCGATACATAAGCTCCTCGAAGGACATTGATGCGTTTGCTGTTGTTCCAGCCTGAACTTTGAACCATTCTAGAATACTTACTGACAGTTGACCGATCGTTTCGCTGTACTGAAAAGGAGAGGCCAACAATATCCCTTCGGTAGATTCCGCTTGGAAAAATAGATGTCCCAAGTGATTACAAGTTACCAGATACCCAACTCCTTCAAGCGATTTTGAAAACAGCCGTTGAAGATGTTCCAGTTTGCACCCAGTCTGTCGCTCCGTCGCACTATGAAATTGATTGAATTCTCGCAGTTCTTCAGCCTTTGATTTTGTTACCAAGGAATAAATTCGCCTCGTCTTGTCGTTGGCAAAAGATACAGTACCGTCCAAGGAAGTTTCCTCCATTGGGGCGGCAATTTTTTGAACGTACTACCTCCAGCGCTTTACCTGCATGACGCCCTTTTCCTTGAAAAAGGTAGACGGACTTATTCGTGGCATTTCCTCCACGCCATTTCGCTGACCATCCTTCAGACCACCGATGCTCAGCAGGATGACATATTCTTCTGTGCCACAAAATGTCTTGAATTTTCCGCTAGACCCATGATTTCTTTTTTAAATTGATATGGACCGTGGACATTCGCTATGTGTAAATATTTAATTCATCTGAGCTCCTAAATACCAACCGCAAATATTCCTAAATGCTTATGCTAAAAAATCTACCTCGCACTTGCAGTTACATCTACCGGATGAAGGAATACGAGCGCGAGAAGCGATTGCTTCTGAGAAAACAGAGAATCGAAAAGAAGCAAGCCCAGGAACTGAACGCTTGAATGTAGCAGCTACAATTTCGCGAGGCAAGTCACCGCCCCCGCCATCGGAGTATGTCCTTATCAATCTTGTTAATATAAATTTAGTAACAGCAAATGTGCAACCAATTTTCCTATTCTTCAACCGATTCATTCTACCGAAGCCAATAAAAACGAAGAGATTGGTTTTTAGGAATAATCAATTACCTGGCGCCTGGTTTCTAGGTCCGTCATCATATCCGAAGGCCATCCAGTGTAAAAACTCGCTCCATGTATCAAATATATACGCTACACATTTCGCTCGGCTCGTCTTTATTCCTCCTTTTTACTGCGGCCCTTGAACTTCTTCCGGATGCAATCGTTGTGTCCCTCCCTGTTCCGTGCTATTTCGATTGCCCAAAATTGAATTCTCACCACCAGGATGGCATTCTCCGGGTGGAATTCATCGGTGGCGTTCGCCCGCAGCAGCGTTCCATAGCTGTAATCTTCCAGTCGGTTGAACTTTTCCATGTACGTGCGCCACTTGGCTTTCTCATCGACGCTTTTCAGCTCATTCTCGTTGATGACGGCCACATTCATGTCCGGAAAGTGCTTCCTGAATTCTTCGTAAATCTCGTTATCGTACGGTGTTAGGTGCAACTGGCGGGTATCGACGCTGCACAGCAGATTGAAGTGCACCTCGGCATGTTCGACGGCTTTCATGGCCCACAGCTCCTCCACCATGCCATCGTTGACGAATTCCTCTGCCGGTCGGGCTAGTACATCCATTACTGCTTATTTGGTGAATTGCTTAACTTCGTTATCTAAAGCTGCTTGCTTGCTGACAGGACATAATTTGATTTTAATAAAGAAAAGTTAGTAAATTTAGAAAAAGTTAGTGGAAAATTAAAAACCAAACCTTGCTTCAACGAAGCACGAGTTAAATGTTTATTTTTTGGCTTGGTACTGCCAAAACAAAAAGCTTGCGAGGGATAGGAAACTTAACTTTATCCCAGCGAAAATGAAATGTAAGCTCGTACTCGAGCAGGAAAGGTATTGATGAATCTACGTTACGGTCGACCGGCAGATGTAAATGATGTGAAAATGATAATGGGCCGTATGAATAAACAGAGTTTACTTTACTTTCCCGTGCTTTTCTTACGGGAAAAGTAAAGTAAACGCTTTTATTCATACGACCTAATGACGTTTTGCTACCTCCCGCATAAACGCGAACCATAACTTGACCTTACCGATAATAATTATAATTTTTTTTATAATCCCTCCTAAACTTTAACTGAAATGGTTATGGAACTTTACATGAACGTTTGTGTGATAAAGTGTTAACCTTATGTATTATTGTTTTTTGAAAGCGGACCTCACAAATAATGGGTTGTTAAGAACCATTACCATTCAAAATTTTTGTTTTCTCCATACATTTTCGAAAAGAAAACTATATTAGAACGTTTTTACTTATGGTTTGAGAACATTAATAGTTATGGTTATGATATTCAGTAAGGTCCATTAATGGTTTTGTATTATCGCTCAACTTTACGTGGAATATATCGTGAATTGGTAATCAGTAATTTACAGGCAACCCTAATAAAAAATAACCATAAACGAACGATAACCCAAATCATTGAACTATTCCACAAATGGTTTCGATGATACCCAGAACACGTCGTTGAGCAAATTAACCATACAATTTTTATTAGGGAACCAATTCGCGATATATTCCACATAAAGTTGATCGATGTTACAAAACAATTCATGGACCTTACTGACTACCATAACCATAACCATTAATGTTCTCAAACCATAAGTTAAAAGGTTCTAATATAGTCCTCCTCCCGAAAATATATGGAGAAAACAAAAATTTTGAATGGTAATGGTTCTTAACAACTCATTATTTGTAAGGTCCGCTTCCAAAAAACCATAATACATAAGGTTAAAACTTTATCATTAAACGTTCATGTAAAGTTCCATAACCATTTCAGTTGAAGTTTTGCAGGGATTATAAACAATTTTTAACCATTTTCGGTAAGGTCAATTTATGGTTCGCGTATATGCGGGCTGTCAAATCGTATGGAATATTTTTTAGTACATCATCACTTTTATAGTTTTTGAATCCAAATCTAGGGGTCGCATGCATTGGTGCAGTTTCGCGTAGATTCATCAATTGACGTCTTGCAGTGAAACATTTCCAAGCTTTCGCCACCTACATTACGAAATGAGAACTACTAGAAGGAGGATAGCTTCCAAATTCTCCAAGTAAGACAGACGATTTTTGGGGCAAATCGGTACATAAAGAAAAACTAATAATTTCCAGTGGAAACTTTTGCTTGAATCGTGTAAGGAAACGTGTTTGCAAACTAACTGTTACTATTTCGGTATGGATCGGAGATGTTTTCATGGAAAATTATGCATAACAAGTTGCACCCCTCCTGTGCAGCTACATTTTTTGGAAAATGGTGAATATGTGCGATTTCCACTAAGATGAAAGTGAAAATTAAGTTAATTTACTTAGGAAAGATTGTATCATGCTGGTGATAATGGAGAAATGGTTGTATAGGACGCCAATATTCAATAAATGTTCATTTTGCCCTTTTTTACACACTTAGAAAATAATACCAAAGTCGGTTTAATTTTCTACCGAACTACATCGGTTACCAACAACGAACCGAAGAATTCGTGTAAAAATATGTTTTTAGGCGTATTTTCCGAGTCAAACCCAAATTTCGGTTAAATTTGACAGATAGGAATGAAGACTGAACCGAAAAGTACGGTAAAGTAGCGATATTTACCAGTTCGGTACTTGAAAACCGAGAAAACTCGGTAAACTGAACCGAATATTCGCTAAACTTTCTCAAACGTCAAACTCACAACTTCGGTTCAACTTCACGACGGAAATTTTAGCCGAAATTCGGTTTTCAGCTAAACCAAATATCGTCAGCCATTTTTTCTCGCGGGTGCGCGTTGTGTTTTTTTTCGCAAGACGTGTTTTTTCGTTAGTGTCACACGGTGAATCGATTTGAAAATGGAAAAACTTCTGGAGGAACTGCATGTTTGATTGAATTCCATGTAGGAGGCATTATCACGACGTGTGAGAAGTTTTTTGTTTCCCTCAAGGGGGTTAACCCTCTCTTTCCCCCCGCACAGGTGAGCCATAATTTTCCGGTTCGTCTCAAGTTTGTTGTCAATAGTTAGTACATACAAAGCATATTTATGCATTAAAACAACATCTGACAAATATAATATAAATCATGCACCTCATTAAAAAAAAAAACTAGTTTTATTTCTGATTCGAAACATCGTAAGTTTTTGGATTTGAGCGCTGTCAAAAAGAACCGAATTCCGTGATTGCAACCGGTGAGTCGGTTTGTTTGACAGCATTCGGTAATACTTGGGTAAACCGATGTTCGGTTATTCCTGCTTGAATTGACTTTTTGTCAACCGAGTTTTTTCGGTTAGTTTGACAGGTTGTGGGAAAAGAAACTTTAACGAACACTCGGTTGTTTCTTTTTGAACCGAACAGACTACCGAGCGTTCAGCAGATAAAAACTCGGTTGAAATTGAACCGAGTTCGGTACTATTTTCTAAGTGTGTAGGTAAACATATTGATACTCATAATTTTTGACGGAAAACGCAACGGAACTTGATTTACTCAACACGCACTATACTATAAAATGGTGCTCGATGGTTGATAAAGTGATAACAAGATGACAAATCGTCTCTATTTTGAGTAATTGAGCAATTTACTTCTGTTCACATCATATGTACGATGCAGCATTGATGGAGCTGTGAAATGAAATGAATATATCTTATGAAAGTTCATCTGGAAAAGTCAAAGATGCACATCAGTCTAATCGTGATAACATTTTCTTCTTCAATTCGAATGTTATATAGGAAGGATTTTAAGCAGGATTGATGAAAATTATGATTTAAGATTCAACAAACCATCATTAAATTTTCAATCATCAAAAGCAGTTTTTTCGTTCAAATTCAAAATTCTGCCAATGAAAATGTCATCACTGTGTTCCGGTAAGCCAGTAGAATGCAATGATGACATTTTCGTTGGCAGAATTTTGAATTTTAACGAAAAAACTGCTTTTGATTTTTTGATGATGATTGAAAAAACAATGATGGTTTGTTGAACCTTAATCAGGGATTTAATGCTAATTTCCACGAATTTTATATGCAGTCTGTCAACATTATCATCATCATGCAGTGGCGACATCTGCGTCGAGCTTTTACGGCAATCCCCCTATTGTCACCAATGGATCAATGAAAATGCTGATGTTTTGACAGAACTATGCGGTGGCTACCACAGTATTTTACATTTGATCGTCCATTGTTATCTGTCGATCTTAAAATAAAAATTAATAGTTTTCAAATAAAATTGAAAAAATATGCTTAGGTTATGGACATGGTTATTAGACTGATGCAAATTTTGAAGTTTTTGCTCCACAAGTCTTAAACGATCCCATATTGGGTCCTAATCATCTTGCCAAAATTTGAGCCCATTTGGTTACAACCTGACTTCGCACAAACCTTTTGAAATTCATATGGGAATTACTATGGGAAAATCAAGTTTTTCGTTGGTATCATTCTAAACATCCTGCATGGCGGTTTGAGGACATATTTGTTATTTGCACTTATAGAAAATTTTGTCAGCTACAACTTTGTGGCGTGATCAGAGATGTTTAGGCCTATTCTGCGCGGCGTGTGAGATGAGGACACAGTGAAGTGATGGTAAAGTGACAATTGTCACCTCGGGTGAGGTGAGTCTCCGTGCAAATCAAATGGAGAGTCACCTCACGCGAGGTGACAATTGTCACTTAAGAATAGGCCTAGTATGCCTCAGAACATCCCGACTGGGACTGAACCCAGGCCTTCTGGGGTGAAAGGTAATCACGCTTACCACTACACCACTGGCGCCGCGTTTTTTGGTTTGTTCAACGATTTTTTTTTATTTCAATTATTTAGCACTTTAATATCTCATTTTACTTACCAGAGGGTTTCCGTTCGGTTAAGCTATACAATGCCGTCTTCGACACAGGCACTTTTGGCATTTTTGGTACTGCAATTGTTGTCCCGTTCATCTGAATCTACCAAACTAGGCATGATTTCCTCCGAATGGTTTCGCAGTGGGTTCAGCTATAGAGCAACATATTTTTAATTTTGAAGAAATCTCAATAATTTTGCATTAATAAATTAGGATTTACTTACGATTTTTATCGGCACTACTGTTCTGTTTATATTTGCTATGTGTTATTGAATAAAACAGTTACAATAAAACGTAAAAAATAGTTTTCTTATCACAAACATGAAAATACATACAATTTGACAGATGATCTCAAGTTCATCACTGGTGCGATTGCAGCGCCAGGGTGACCGATTTAAACTTGGATTTGTCAAATTGACAAATTCAAGTTTGAAATCATGTGTCAAGTTTTATTAGGGAAGCTCCAAGGTAATTCAACATTCTAGAAATATAACAAATGTTAAATTACCCGTCAATACAATACAATAGAAAATACACCTACGATTGTCGTAGATGCAAAGCTACTGTTTATAAACATAACAATCGAATACTTGATCGAATATAGATAGTCATGGAAGTGGTGCCAGAATTAATAGAAAATTCTGGTGGAAGTGTGTTTGGAGTGTGTCGAACTGTGTTTTTGGAGTGTTAAACACAAGGTGGCAGAGTGAGTTACCAGAGTGAGCCTACCCGATAAAACATCCCACCGATTTTTCCCTCAACTTCGTCGGGTTTCGTCGGCATGATCGACCGATTTTATTTCCGACGAATCGGTCGATTGTTGCACCGACGCTTATAGGAGCTTAACACAGGGGTTGACTGATTTTACAGTATACTAAATTGGCTCACCAAGTCGATAGATTGAAAGCGATTTGGTAGGGTGAATAATCGATGGATAAAATTTATGGTAAAAATCGACAAAAACCTATCAAATCGAATGATAAAGGACTACTAAATCGACTGATTAGTAGGCAAATAAAGCTTAAAAATAAACTGAAACAGACAACATCGGCTGATTTGTTGCTACTAAATAATCTGATTGGTAGACACGAAGAATCAGAGAATAAGTAAATCTCAAAGAAATCGTCCGACGCAGAGCTATTAAATAGCTTTATTAATCGACATACAAAAACGAACAACGAATGAAAGTCGACGAAATCGGTTGATTTTGAACCACTAAATCTATCGATTAATCAGTATAGAAAGAAATCAAAATACCTATGGAATCCGATGAAATCAGTTGATCAAGAGCTATTAAATAGGTTTGTTTGTATTTTCCTTACAGATAGTATAATCGCAATTTATACTTACAGTATATTATTAATTCTCTTGTAACACTTCTAGCCAGATCGGAGTAGAAAATACCTGGAAATGAACTTATAATTAATATCCTGAAAATATTTTTAAGAATGTAAAAAGCACCTGATCGTTCCCTATCAGCCTTACGTAATTTTCGACCTGAATATCCAGCTTTCTTTAGATTTCCTAGCATAATCTCAAGTATTTTCTTTGTAACACCTAAATGACATGTATTGCATCAATCGCTAACTGTAGGATCATATCTAGTCCGATGATTCGTTCTACACCAAATGTAGATTGAGTACGATGATGTTCTGGATCGATTCTTCTGCGGAAAGATTGATCAGTTCTGGCGGTGCATTCTTCCGGGGAATAAACGGTCACTCTGCTAACACGTTTGCCAATCTGTGTGCAATTTGGGCATCCATGTTTACTAACGTGAGACACAGCACCACTTATTTTGCAAGTTGCTGGACGATCACAAATAAACAACCGAATACTAAACTTCAACTTAATCATATCAGATTCACGCTTCAGCTCTGCTCCATTTTTCATTAGATCGTTGACTTCAGTAACAAAATCCTGAAGGAATTCATCCGCGCTCGATGGCTCTTTTAATCCTGAGTAACATCCAATTACGAATGGAGAAATTTCTTGTACATTTGGAAAAGCAGCTAGAATTGGCCAAAGGCATCGACCGTTTTTAGCTACGGGAAGTCCATCGATATTTACGTCAAGCTCAATCTCTTGCATTGCAGTAACTATTGGATCACCAGCTAGGTTAGTTAAAGCATTTTGAATTCCGAAATGTATGTATTCACCGGGGGTCACTTTTTTGGGAATAATGCTGTATCTGGGTGTTTCTAAAAGAGTCAAACGTGAACGCGGTACATCAAGACCTTCATCCCGCAGAATTTCCAGTAGTGATTTAGTTGCCTCAACCCCTAACCGATACTTGGACACAAAATGAGCAAGCCTATATTTTACAGGGAGGTTTGCACCGTCTTTTGCTATACGTTCACTTAAACCTATATCTGCAACAGCTTCCGTGTAGATTGGCTTCTCCGGAGGACTATTATCATCTTCTTGATGATCATCACTTCCATCCACGGGATGGACACAATCGCCTTCTTCGTCTGAGGTGAAATGGTTTTCCAGGTGGACATCATCCGTGTCGTCTGCCGCATGATCAGCAGCTTCATTTGCATTTTCCCCTTCACTGTCCATCAAATGTCGCCGGTAAATTTCATCATATTTCTTATATTTTGCGGTTTTCCGCTTTGTTCTCCAAATACTCCATCTACTAGCCATCGTGAAATTACAACAGTTTCACTACTTACGGTAAAAATCAACACAAAAACACGTTCTTTTAGCGAGAAAACTCTAAACACTTTGTAAATAAACAAACTGACCGCGACTAGTAAACTTCCATTATCAACACAAGGGTTCGAGCTGATTAAATATACCAATTTTAATCCGACATAATCGACTCCCGACGAAAACCGACTTAGCTGATAGACTGATGTACCGACAGAAATCATTGAAAAAATCATCGACTAATGACATTCGATTAAATCAGACAACGCATAGTACGATTCAAACGGCACCCGATTTAGTTGGTACATTCATTGACTGTTTTCGTCTGCTCCCGATAAAGTCGGGTTTCGTCGGTATATTAATCGGTTGATTTTGTCGGCACCCGATTTCGTCGGTCTACCGTAAAATTTCCCAGCTGTCAAATGTTTTATGGGGTATGTTGTAAAACCAGGGATTGGATAAATTTTAGAGGTCATTTTTAGGTTTCGCCCTTTTGACATGTTGGTGTTGTAGGCACACCCGCGCGCGTTGCAAATTTCTTTCCGTGTAAACCACTTCGAAGTGTCATTTTGCGAAGGAAGCAAAAGCAAAACGTCAGAAGCTGAAAAAACGGGAGGAGAACGATAATCGCAAAAATTCAATCAAAATACGTGTGTTCTCTTACGGGTGGTGACGAAACCGAACCGCAGTTATTTAATATTCCTTCTGTCTTTCTCGGAGATACATTTAATCAACGAATCGAGGCCATGGCATTCTGGCTTTAGGCGATCCGCTAAACAAAGAAGCATCTTCCGTCAACATCTATCATGAACAACTTGAAAGCCCCGTCGCTACACTCCCTGCTCGAGTCTGATCATGGATCATCGAACGACAGTCTGCTGGCCGAATCACTGCAGCTGGATATCGAAGAGGTGGGTAACAAAGCAGCAACTGATAAGAGATTAGTCGTTATGAGATGGGTGTTTTTCTTCTTTCGTTGAATTCAGCTGGACGATGAAGAGTATTCCATTCCTGCTGTGGATCAGCTCCCAACGCTGGAGAGTGTTCTCAGCGAAATCGATAGTGACCTGGAAAGCGTTTCGGCGCTCGGTAGGACGGTCGTTGATGGTGCAACGACGAATGGGCGCGGTGGAGATTTGGGATCAACACCGACCCCTTCGATGGCCGAGGATTACATGCGAATGGAGTCGATTCTGAGGCATGTGGTGTTACAAGGAGTTACGGCACAGGTTACATCCGCGGTGGAGCGCGTCGATGCTGGGCTGGCCACGTCATGCACGATTTCGCAGATGATTGCCGTAGGGACATCGCATGGGCACATTTTGGCGTTCGATTGTTCCCAAACTTTAAAGTGGTGCTGTCAGGATGGAGTCTCGCAAGGAGCGGTTTCGGCATTGGCATTCAATGAGGATAACACAAGATTGCTGGCTGGTTTTGCCAGAGGGGGTATACTGATGATTGATACTCTTACGGGAGACGTGATTCGGACGTTGAATGAGGTGATAACACCGAATACGGGGGTGTTGCACCTAAAATGGACGAACAAGCCGGCGTTGGCGCTTTGTTCGGATTCCGGTGGATCGGTGTGGAGTCTGAGCTTTACGAGACGGCTTGGAATTCGTGGCTGTGATTCTCGTTGCTTGTTCAGTGGAGCTCGCGGGGAGGTTTGCACGGTGGAACCACTTTTACTGGGGGACGAGGAACACCCGTTGAAAAACTATACTCTGGTAGCATTGGCGACGCTGAGCAAATTTTTCGTCGTGATGATCCGTCCCAGACTGAAGGTGATCAAATTTCATCCAATGGCTGGATATCCGGATTGTTTACCACTGCTCGCGTGGCAAATGGTGCTGATACAAGCTGCTGACTCTTCGCGAACCATTGATCCGGTTTTGGCAGCAGCTCGCGGAGCTGATTTATATTTCCATCAAATCAGCTACTGTAATGGACGAATTTCACTCATCTTCCTGCGACACATCCATCTGGGATATAATTTGCTGGCTTTGCACTGGCTTGGGCCCAAGACGATCGCCTGTCTGGACACCATGGAAATGCTTCATCTGTCTGATGTTCGTACCAATAAGGAATTGGAATCGATCGATCTGTCCAACGTTGGGCTGATGTACAATTCCGCCCAGTTCAAGGGATTAGCCACCGGGGGAAACGTGTCACCGGCTCTTGCGCTGGCTGGCGGATCGGCTTGTTATAATACAGTTATCTCGCAGGGCAGCCAGCTCTATCTACTTGCCGGCAAGAGTCTGCACGGGGTAAGTGCAAGGGCTTGGAGCGATCGGATTTCCTATCTGACGTCGATGCAGCGCTGGGAAGAAGCCATCGAACTGGCTGTGGACGGTTACCGGGCTGCGGCAGGTCGCCATCGTCGGCTTGCGGTGGCCAAGGAGCGAATCCTGCGGATGTTTGACGAATATTTAAATGCAACAAGGAAGACGCCGGAACTGTGCCTCGAAGCGATGGTGGCTTGTCTGATCGAGATCAATGAGAAGTAAGTATCTGAGCGTATGTTCTTGAAGAATAACAATTCTCATTGTCCACCTTGGTTTCAGGAACCTCCTTTGGCAAGAGCTATACGATCGCCTTCCCACCACGGACCACTACATGACCATCATTGCGCGGCACATCGAAAGCGACGATTTGAGTTCGATTGCCCCCTCGGTGGCACAGGTTCTTTGTGATTATTTTCTGCAAAAACGGGACATCAACCGGTTGGAAAATCTCATCCTCAAGCTGGATTGGCAGTGCTTGGATCTGCACCAGGTCCTCACCATCTGCCGCAAGGAGAAGCTCTATCGAGCGCAGATGTATCTCAATACCAAAGCACTGTCAGATTACGCGGTCTCACTGACGGATTTGATTCCGATCATTCACGAACGTGATGATCCCCATCTGGGCAATTGCCTGCTGGTGTACGTGTCCAGTTGCCTCGCCGGTCGGGGCTATCCCACTGGGGACATTGCACCGGAGATGATTGCCACGGTGAAGCATGAAGTGCTGCGCTGTCTGACCGTGATTCATTCGAAAAATGCTCCCGAAGGCGAACTTCCCTACCCATATCTGAGAACGCTTCTCGAGTTCGATACACGTGAAACGCTGAATGTGATTTCCCTCGCGTTCCAGGAGAAGGAATTTAACGGAGAACTGGGATTGTCCCAGCGTCAGCGGATAATCAACATTCTGCTGGAAATACTCACCCCGGAGCATGCCAGTTGGTCTCAGATCGGATGCTTGTTAAACTTCATCGCCCAGCAGATTGCCTCCCGCCAACTTCCGGAGAATGACCTCCTGCTGGAAAAAGTAATCACCTACCTGGCCAGACAAAGTGAGGAAATTGCCGTTGGTCGAATGACCAGGAGAGAGCATTCCGAACAGGAACAGACCTGGCTGGAACTGCTCCGTTCCAACTGCCTTAGTCACATTTCGAACGAGGAACTGCTGGAAGTTTCCCGCCAGGGTCGGTGCTATCGAGTCACGGAATACATCCTGGAACAGCTCGAACGGTATGAGGAAATTTTCGACTGCTATCTGCTTGACGAGTTCCGGCACGCCGAGCTGTTCCACTACATTAGTCAGTACAGCGAGGACGGACGGAGAAAAGTGCTGCCGCTGTTTATCAAAAATTTCCAACAGATTTTGGACATCAATTGCGAGCAAACGACGCGGGTCGCAACGGATCATTTTATGCGGCATTTGAATCAACTCCTGCAATTGCTGGAAGATTCTCCTGAAAGGCTGTTTCACTTCCTGCGACAGCTTATCAAGCAGGGAGTGCAGCTGGAAACACGTGACTGCGAAAAGTATCTGGAGCTGCTGTGTCACTACCAACCGGAGGAGGTGATTGAGTTTCTGAAATCGAACGACTCCTATCGGTTGGATTTCGCCGTTGGCACAATCAAGGGCCATGGGATGAATACGGCACTGATCTATCTGTACGAAAAGCAGGGTGATTACCAGTCTGCGTATGCCGTGGCGGTGGAAGCGCTCAGAGACGCTCCGGAGAGCACCGCGGAGATGTGTGCCTTGCAGGTGAGTGCGGTGTCATATCCCAGAAGCTCCCATTTTACTTGAATTTTGTAACTGCATTCCAACATATTTCGGGTGCTATGGGAAAACAGATGGGGCAATGTAAATTGGTAAACCATATAAACTATCCTCCCATTTCCAGGTTTCCGGCTTATGCTCCCGTGCCTCCTCCGTCCTGTCGGAAGCCGAACGCCAAGAACTGTGGTTCTCCCTGTTGAAGATCGTCCTCTCCCGGACCGATCTAACGCAGATCACGAAAAACATTCTGCACGCGGCGAGCGAGTTTGTCGACCTGGCAAAACTGGTCCAGCTGGTGTTGACTTCCGGTACGAAAACCGGCAACTTTGGCGACATCAAACACGTCCTCATCGGTATGCTCTCGAATTCGGCCTACGAAACTGTACTGCTGGAAACCACCTCCCGCATTCTGGGACGGGACCTGCACGCCATTCTCGCCAGGGAACGTCGCTTTGCTCGGAAAGGACTCTGCGTGAAATCCATCAAGTGCACCATCTGTCGTTGTAAACTTTACAACGCTGCCAAGGATGCGGTCGTGGTCTTTGGCAACTGTGGTCATGCACTGCATAAAGATTGCGCCAGTCGATACTGCACCGTAGCAACGGATTCTCCATCAACCGAGGCTAACAGCGTGACCAAATTGAGATGCCCTCGGTGCGACGTAGTCATCAGTGAACGGGAATCGGTCAGGACTTCCGAGTGTCGTGCGGATCTGAGCTCGGTCGACGTGCACAGAGAAGCTGGAACGACCGATCCCAGTGCACTGAAACTGAGTGCTCCCCCGAGGATCGGACTGTAGTGCTCTTGAAATGATCTCTTAAATATTCTGCTTTGCTGTTTCTTCGATGTGGATTATTTCCTACTCCTAATCAAGCAGCATTTGCCATCTTCTTGACCCTGACGAGCGCCAGGCCGCGGACGGACGGGGTAAGTTTTTAAAGACTACTGTATTACATTCTGCTATTACTAACTAGCTGTGAAACGATGATTTCGCTGATTTTAACCAACGTTTAGCATTTCTGTTGCCAATCAAGATATGAAAGCAAATACTGAGCAAAGATTATTTAGCAATATCTATCCTACTTTGTAAGTGGAAAATTATCTAGGTTTATTTAAAACTATCATGATTATTTATGAATTCTACGCATCCTATTTAGGTGAATTTAATAACGAAAACTTCTAACATTCAGTAAGCTAATGAGAACTATATCCAGTCGACTAATGAATATTAGAGTAACCGATAATATATTGAACAATGTTAGTCCAAATTGCAGTTTAGGGAAAGAAAACCCGTGTCGTGTTTTGTAAACCGGAATAGGCAAAATAATAAATGTTTTCGTCACATTAGAGAAATGTTTGGAGGGCATTTTAAACATTAGATGACATTTCCTTAAAGCAGTGGATGGGAAGTCGCTCTTAAACTTCTGGCGAGGAAGTTGATCCATATCGAGGCATACGTTTTCTAATCTATGGGTCGCATAAGATCCTTCAGGAGCACCAAATGGACGAGTCGACTCCGGAGGAGGCCAAAGAGAAGTGAAGAGAAATCAAGCGATGCCCAGAAAGAGCAGTCACTCATATTCAAGAGTAGAAATGACTCTACATATTACCACCGACGAACCTAGATTCTTCTTCTTCTTCATTCATTTATTTAACGTTGGTCTCTGTTCCGCAATGTAGTGCCAATCACACATCGGCCGGGACCAACGGTTTTACTTGCCTTCCGAAGGAAGACGTGACCAAAGATTTTTATGCCTCAGAAAAATCTCACCGACCTTGGCTGGTCGGGGGTGAGAAAGCAGTCACCCTTACCACTACAGCACAACTACAAAAACAAGTAGTAAGTATTCATTTTTGAATAACAAATACTCATAAATGGGTCCCAGTCTCCCTCGAAAATGCTTACTTTGTAGTTATTATTGGGTATTTTGCGGTTACCGTGTAGGGGATGAGTACTTAAAGGGGCTAGATTTTGATAAGTTCTTTAGTGGGAATGACACTGATGAAGACTGCACATTGTAGTCGAAATACGTATCTGTCATGGATACCAAAATTAATTAAGTGGAATTAAATGGAAGATAACCTTTTTTGCTGTTTTGTTTAAGCATTCCGCTAACAACCCAATTTCAATTACTTCACTGCAGTTACTCCACCTACGAACCGACATGCCACAGGAGCATTTCGTTTGTCCACAATTCGATTTGTCAAACGAGCGATTCGATCTTTAAAACGGACGATCAGATCTTTCAAACGAGGTGAGACGCAAACCAAGCCAATATAAATTCTACGTGTGTTCGTGTCCTTGCTCATGATATGACGCGATCGGATCAGTAGATGGGCAAGAATTTGAATGTAGCTGGTCGGCTCATGATTACTCATTAGCTATGAATTCCTGCAGGTTTTCCCAAATATGAGAAAATTTCGTATGGAATGAAAATGCTCCGAGTCAATTGAATTCACTTGCTGAGTCGTTCTGATTGGCCGTGTAGAAGATTCTTTAAGCTACTTTGGGAAATCTGCAATCTTTTCAGGGAAAGTATACCTGTACCTAGATACCTGAGATTCGCCACGGTTTCCTTAAGAATTCCGCATTCAGAACGGAACAAACTTGTTATGGTGAAGAGATGAACTAGCCTATGGCTAAAAATCTCTTTAATAAAGAAAAAAAAAAAAAAACTTGTTATGGTGGTATTAAAAACATGTGCTTCATTTGTAAGCCAGACGAACGACGAATGTATTTCTGTCCCAAAATCAAAATTGAGAGGCAATCAAATTGGAATGTCGGGAAAGAAGAAAAATGCGCGTTCACTAGATACAGTTACATTTATTCAGTATACGTTGGAATATCAAAGATTTCTTTTACCCGAAATCAAATATTATGCGCACTTATGTACTTATTGCAATCGGCTAACATATTTCAAAGCAATCCGAACAAAAAATCACAAAAAAGTATACTTCCTTAGAAGGTAAAAAAAAAAAGTCAAAAACACTACATACACATACCTATCACTTAAAACATGAACGCAAACTGCTGGATCAATATAAAAAGAATTTCATCTAGCGAGGTCGCCAAAAATCCGATCCTAGGTTACATATATAATCTTCCGGAGCCGTTAACCGTTCACGCGTCCTAAATTAATCGTCCCAGCTGTTCGATTCCTGCTTGAACAGCAGTTCGTATACCGCCGCTGGATTGGGGAGCTGCCCGTTGGACCCACCTCCGGCACCATTCCCACTGGCGTTGCCGTTGGCCGCAGCCGTTACGGCCGCATAAGCGGCAGCTTGCTGTTCCGCGTGCAACTGAACCAGCGCTTGCTGGTGCTGCTCCAGTGTCATCATAGTCCCGGGCGGTGGCGTTCCGAACGATGAACTCCAAGTTCCGGCGGCCGGAGACTTGGGAGGCAGCGGAGTCTTCCGGTGCATCCGGTTGTAGTGTTTGATGTAGTTCGAGTTGGCAATGGCCCCGCTGCTGTCCGCATCCGGTGCCCGGATGTAGATTTTGATCTCCATCCGACAGAACGGACAAATGACCGACCCCTGCAGTTTGCCCTCCTGCATCGAAACGTTGATGTTGATGTCCTGCAGTTCGATTTCCTTCAAGGCGACTTCACCGTGCGTGGTCAACCAGGAGAGGATGTTCTGCTGAAGCTTAGTACGGTACATTTCGATCAGCGATTCCGGTGGTGGAACGATTCGAGAGGAAGGGGTCTCGTCCCGGGAATCGCTGCTCGTTGGATTCGGAGGTGTTGGTTTGGACACCTTGACCACGGTAGTCGCCTGGCGGTCCAGTTTTCGCAGAAGCTTCGCCGTCAGGTCATCGATTCCCAACTGGTTGATCCGTTCCGAAAGGACCCGTATCAGTCGCCGGTGGCCCATCGGCAATTTATACTGGGTGGTAATCTCGTCCAGATCGGATTCTCGCATCGCCGACAGCGACAGGAGGTTGTCGAAGCCCGTGCCCTTCAGGGCTTCCTTCACCGGTTGAGGAATGTAGCCCAAGGGAGAAAGGATCTCCCAGAAAACTCTAGTGGCCATGTCATCTTCCACTGGCTGGAAAGGAAAGGGTTGGTTTGAAATTCATCTGTAAAACAGAACATCTTTCTGGTATACTAACCGCATCTAGTTTGAGATCCGACATGATTCACCGTTCACTGGAATCGATTGAATTCACTAGGCAAATTTTCCAATCTTATTTCCTGCTACGTTTCATTCTGGAGACAAAATTATACGGTTCAATTACCCCTAATTACTCATATAGATAGCCTCTGTCCGAGATGGTCGTAGCGTTAATTGGATGTGTAACTTATAAGCTAGCTCCGGAAGGCGTTTCGATTGTCCTTTTTTCTTCGTAAAAAACATGTAACTTTGACTGCACTGGTGGTGATATTTTGATTTTAAAACATTTTTTGTTGTGGATTTCACTCGGAAAAAGAACAAAATTCTTTAGTTTTCTCGCTTGCAGTCAATAATTAGGCATACTCACACAGGACTATCACATATAATGTGAATAATGTTTATATAGGTGTTTTGATTAATTTTTTGACAAACCCAGTTGACATTTTATGAGCGAAAAAAGCTACATGCAAGATATGGATGAATTTGTAAACCCTATTTTCGCACAAGTTGCGCGATTTGGATGGAAGTCGTAACAATAGGGTAGAGCGCTACTTCGTCGTAATCGCCCATTTCCGTTCTATCGATCAGAAAAGATCAATAATATCAATGATTTCACCGTGCACAAATCAATAATAGGTTTGTTCCGATGCGCTAGTTCATTAGCTACAACATAAACCTTGTTAGAGCGCATTGTATGAATATTTACGCTCATTGTTCTCAAAACAAAAGAAGCGCTCCTAGCGAATCCCCTTTTTCTGCGTTGATCCGTAGGACGAAGAAAATCTAATGGCGTTTCAATGCGTTAAGACGGAATTGAAACTCGTAGAACGAATTTAGAATCAAGAAGCAGTGTTAGATTTTAGACAATCACCCCTATTCTGTATTTCGTTTCGAACGAAATTCTCATACAAAAAATATTTTTTTGTATGAGAATTTCGTTCGAAACGAAATACAGAATAGGGGTGAATATCTCATCAATGTGTGACTCTTTATCAAATCCAACGGTACGTATGGAAAGGTGAATAAATTTGCAAGTCATCTTTGACAGAAATATTCCATTTTTTGTTTAAATTCGTTCAGAAAAGAGAGGTAAAGCGCGGGTTGTGCTTAGTAGGACGGAAATTAGATCAAAAACCCTATAGTGATTTCAAAATGACTGGTCTGTTTGAATGGAAAAAAAAATATTATTTGTGCTACTACTATATTGTGCACGTATATTTAAAATCGTGCTCGGTCACAACACGCAGTTAATGAACAGCACCTTAACACGATTCTATAACATTCGCCACAAAAGCATTCCCCAGAAAAGATGATGAAATTAGTAATTTATCACACTCTCGGCACAGACAAACAGACATAACACATTGAATATACTCGATTTCTCACTGTAAAACATTGTTATTGTTATTGCTCAGTTCACACCCTGGCTGGCTGCTACCTACCAATGTGCACTTAAGCCAGGCATGAACCTACGGAAATTTAGTCGTGGCCTATGCTAGACCGTATAGCATAACGACTTTCCTTTCACTAGCAGGCTTTTTGGTCCCACTAGCGCCCAATTAGGGGATAGTAAGAGATTAAAAGAATAAAGAAGAGAGATATAGGATTTTGTTGTTTTGCTGAAAAAAAAAAATAAAAAGAACCAAAAAAACACACCAGCTTGTTGTGCAACATCAGGTTTGTTCGCTTTCATTTCCGTTCCAAGGGGCAACGTCCATCGTCGTCGTACTCAGACACCTGGGAACCTCCAGAGATGCACAGGGCCAACGTGAAAGACTTCCATTCTGGGCAGCTGCTTGACCTGGGCCCAGGTCAAATTCCTATCGGCTTGCTTAATTTACTTGTTGACGCTCCGCCGCCTTAGTATTTGCCTTTGCTGCGATGTTCTGGCGGATTTAATTCATAATCAAACGCTTGCCTGCAGACTTCGTTTCTATTGCTATCGGCTTCTGATGACATTGACATCTGAGATCCATTTTTGAGGCCACCAGCCACAAGTTATATACCGCAGGCAGCGGTTGGTGAGACCTGCAGCTTTTGAGTGTTCTCCACTGGTGCTGCCGAGATTCCACGTTTTAATCGAAGTTTCGAATTTTGGTACGTTGACCAATCTGATTTGATCTCCGCTTTTGTGTAAATCTCGCGTCACTTTTCAAATAGACCAATGTAACATATCCACCATTTTGAGAAAATCGAAGTTGAAGTTCGACAGATTATTATGTTAATTAAACAGTTAACATAATAATCTGTCGAACTTCAACTTCGATTATACATTTTGCATTACTATTTTTAATGTAGTCAGCATATAATAACGTTGAAAATTCAGAAGAAACAGTAAAATCACAATTTTACTTTGAATTTCATGCTACAACATAGAAAAAATCACATAGGACGTTTTGACAAGTCGAGTTGTACATCGGACATGTTACATTGGATGATTTTTCTCAATGACATAATCAATGAGTGCTACATTGGACGTTTTGTCTACATGATACTAGATTCCCTTTCACAGATTTCAAAGTATAGTACCTAACTTTAGATTGGCCCCGCCTTTGGAAAATGAGCACCAATCATGTTAGGCAGTCCGAATGACCGAAGTAACAATCATGTACCCATCATTTCAAACTGTACATTGGACAATTTTTGATCAATGATTATCTTAAATAAATGAAAGTAAATTTGGATGGATGTTTTTGTATCACATACAATGACAGAAGGGCAATAGTTTGTATCGCTTAACTCGATTTGTTTACATTTGTTACATTGGTCTATTTGAAAAGTGACGCGAGAAATGTCATATTATCACCGACCTTATTACCATCACCTTAGTGTGTGACATCAGGTGTACGCTCCTCTGTGTTTTCGTTACCAATGCAGTTAATTTGACACGTTTGTTGCATTTCCGTATGTCTCACTCGTTCATTGTGTTATGGAAAGAAAGAAAGTTAAGGTTAAGGTTAGATACTATTAGTGGACATGCCTAGATATAGCTGGAATTAGGGCGTAACAGCCTTTGCAAACAATGACGTCCCCTCGATGCTTTCCAGGAATTCAAGGCACGCCCACGCAAACCAACATAACCATCGGGTAGGGGAAGTCTTCTTCTACTCGATGAGGATGCTGGTCCGCGTGGGCGAGCCCCGAATTTACAGAAATCATCGATAGAAGTCACCGTTCACAAAAGTTGTTAGGCCCTAATTCCAGCTCTATCGAGATGTTTTGTAACCCACTTATTGTGTCTGTTTACTTGTTTATTGTTGTGCGCAATTAGAGAGAGGATGAGACAGAATGTGGAAAAGGAATTTATTAGACTAGAAGAGATCAAGACAATCTAACAAAATTAGCTACACAGCAAAAAAAGTTGTTGAATATTACATCGAAACTGCTGCAACCAGGTCAATCCATCGGTTGTGTAATATCACATTGTACGATGTACATCGATTTTGTGAACAAAATTACATCTATTGATGTAATATTGTATCTGCTTTTTACTATTACATCAATATATCATACATCAGCTTGAATTACGTTGATCAATTTTACATTTTTTTTTGCTGTGTACGAGTGGTGAAATGGGATCGGATGTGGAAGAAGAATCTATTAGACTAAAAGATATTAAAGTATAACAGGGCTAGTATTACTTGCAACGTTGCAACAAGTGGTAAAAAGTATTGACTTGTTAGTGTAAAAATAACTAAGGGTGATGCCCTTCCCATGGACATGGAGGTTGACGGTACTGAAGCAAAGGGTTATGTTTAATTTCTTTATATTTGCAACGATGATGATTTCCTATAGTGACACATATCACCTTCTTAATGCTTCAGTATGCCTCAAACGATTAATTCTTGGTTGTTAATAGAACTTCCTTGATGAAATCGGCTGCTTCATGCAGACTGAGCAATTCTGATTATAGTATCAGATTTGTTCTGTATACAGAGGAACTGGGAGGGCTTATTAGAAACTACTCACCAATAAAGTAATGATCTTCTAGTAAATTTTGCATATAATTTTATTGATATTTTATTTTATTTAAGCATATTATTTTTGCTACAGTCAATTAGCATTAGCATATGATACAAGAGATTTAATATTATTTGCTCGCTTTTGCGTAAAATAATCAATATTTATTTTACTTGTAATTACCTTTGAAGGTTTTTTTCTAGTTTTTTTTTTGTGATCTGAAAATTTACCCAGTTTGGTTAGAAGTTTCGAAGCTATAACGCATGTCCACAGGCCCAGGCTTGCTTCCACTCACTTGCTATAAAAAATTGTTTTTCGGAATTATGAAATCATTAGATATTACAATAATAGTTAGTAGTTGTAAGTCACAAGATAAGGTTGTAAACTAGGTGTTTGACACATAAAACCTGTCATTATTGCTTTCAGTGCGTCACAATCAGCGATTTTACGATTCGTGAGCGCTCACTCAGAGTGAACGCTCACGAGTCATAAATTCGCTGGTTGTGACGCACTGAAAGTTAAATTGACAGGTTTTATGTGTCAAACACCTAGTTTACAACCTTATCTTGTGACTTACAACTACTAACTATCATTATAATATCTAATGATTTCATAATTACGAAAAACAATTTTTTATAGCAAGTGAGTGGAAGTAACCCTGCACAGGCCTAATAGAAAGATAGGCAGAAAAAGTGTATCATGAAGAATGGTTGCATGCAGTGTTGCTTCCACTCACTTGCTATAGATGAGTGAATTTCGGAGTTTTGAATTCGTTAGATGTTGTAATGGAGATTTGTGCTGTTGGATGCGGAAGGAGATTGGAGGGAGGGTGTTTGACGCATAGAGCCTGTCAATTTCGCTTTCAGAGTGTCGCAGTCAGCGGTTTTATGATTCGTGAGCGCTCGCGATTCGTAGAATCGTTGATTGTGACTGCAAGTGGATTTGACGGGTTTTGTGTGTCGGACGCTTGCTTTTTGGCCTCTTCTTGTGTCCATGTGCAGAGTATCATTATAACGTCTAATGGTTTTGAGCTTCCTGGTGGCTTCCTGGTATCTTTTTGAGATTTTAGCAGTCACGTTTTGTTTGTAGTATATATATTATTTATTTTATGTAATTATGGTAAATAATAGTTATTCAATAATAGATAGTTCATCCATATATTCGTACTTTGACGCGAAGCGCTGTGGATTATAAGATACTCGATGACCCTCGAGGGATCGATTTTGCTTACTGAGCAGAAAATCATGGATTTAACCCCAAGCTCTTCCACAGCACAATAAAACGCCACCATCATTTGTATATTTGATATTGAACATTAACCTCGGAAACTATTTGCATATCAAGCGAAAACGTAGTCCTGTATTGTTGCGAAGCGTTATGGTTCTGAGATGCTCGATGACCCTGG